TTAATATTGAGATTATCTAGAGCCAAAGTGAAGTTTATTAGTGAATATTTAAATCTTTAATTTTTAGTATAGAACTATCTTACAGATACCCATAAGAAACAATACACACTACAAATTATACACTCTTCTGAAAAATAAGCTACCTAAAGACAAACATACAACGATGTTAAAAGTGTAAGTTAAATAAAACTACATACAGTTTTACTTGTTGGTATGTCTGTATAACTTCTTAAATTACAATCAGCAAATTTAATTGACTCGCATGGTTATATATGTTTCTAATTGAGAATTTCTGTTTTTGTTTTTAAATGACACATGGCATGTTCTTATTAACTTACTATTAAATGTTATTCTGAAGTGATGTGAAAGGCGCATATTTAAAGTTTAAGCTGTTGCCGCATATTAGGCTTATATCAAAACGAGCTGATTCGATCAACACAATCTCATTCTGATACAGTACTGATACGTTACCGCAATGCTGTAAAATATAAAAAGTTTGATACAATAATTTATTTTCCGTCTATACACAAACTTAAAACAATGTTGTTTAAAATTACTTAAAATTATAACATTTCTCAGTAAATACTGTATCTTGTTACATTTTGTATTGACGACATGTTTCGATGTGTATTACATCATCATCAAACAAATCAATATACGCAACGCAAGATGTGCAACAGTTTTTAAAATTGATAGACCTGATGATGATGTAATACACATCGAAACATGTCGTCAATACAAAATGTAACAAGATACAGTATTTACTGAGAAATGTTATAATTTTAAGTAATTTTAAATAACATTATTTTAAGTTTGTGTATAGACGGAAAATAAATTATTGTATCAATAAAACACAAACATGACGCAATTAAGATATAAAAAAAAGATATAAAAAAAAAGTTTGATGTCAATTGTAATAATTTTTTGGATTTAAATTCCCAAATAAGCAAAACAAATATCATATATGTCTGACCAATAAATTAAATATATAGACAAAGCAAGAGAATATTCATACGCAATATTCCTTTGATATAAAACATTTTTTTTAAAATTAGTAGTTCCTTTGTTTTTACCGACGTGTTATAATGCAGGTTACAAATGACGAGCAATGGGAGGTGTCCTGTGTCAGAGTTTGTTTTTAAGTTACCCAGGTTAGCCTTAATTCAGCAAATATTCTGCAATGGATTATATGGACCGCATTGTTAAACGGGTGTAATTACCTCCAAATAAGAGTGTTAAAACACAATGCTTATGAATTTAAAAGCTCGATTGAGAAAATCTGAGACAAAAAGCACGGGACTTCATTATTTTTATAAGCTCTACGGAAATATCTCGTATATATGAAGCTTCCAACAGCTCTAGTTAGTGATCAAGATCTTTAGTCACTTATGGGCTATCTGTGTAGACATACATCAAGCAGCTGTTTTTTAAAACATAAGGATGCATCCAACATTTCTAAAAATCTTAATAAAATTGTATGCTCGCTTGCAATATCTTGTTTTAGATTAATGCTTGGTTTTGTACTGATCCCCACTATACAATTTCTTACTTTATAGGGTACTGTCTACAGTACTAAGGATAGTTTATTACGCACGATCTGATGTTTTTCTTCCTACGCCAGTATTGTATTATTATGTTAACAATCAAGTAGGATTTGAGGTTTTCATGGCGGTGAGACCGAAGATGGCTGTCTTCAGGGTTGTTGCGCCGTGTAGTATAATTATCGCCCTGATGATGGAGGCAGCAAGGACCTCCGAAACATCGGTAAACTACTGTACTACACGGCGCAACAACTCAGAAGATAGCCATCTTCATGCTAAAGGTCGTTAATGGAATGCCTAAAATTTATAACTTTCTGAAGAATTGGAAAATAATTTTAAAAAACAAAAGAATGGTAGTGTATTCTGACGTAATGAATGTGTAGAAAGAAGCGTACCTGAGTGTTGGAGTTGTGGGCAGAGCCAGTACAAACAGCATTCATCTCCTGGCAAGTGACCGAGTATGGCCTGGCGGGGTTCGCACTGCAGGTCTGAGGGCGGAGAGGCTGTGACCGGGGGGCACGTGGATTGGCATGAAACGTTTCCGTACTCGCAGTAGCACCTCTTTGAACACCCAGTTAGCTTTGTCGGGATCTCTGCCCAGTTGTTGAAACGTTCGCCTTCATACTCACACGAGCCGTTGTTTCGACAACGTACCTGAGACAGATGTGACCATTCAATATCGCTATTCGATCCTTCATCCAAGGAATCTTATTAAATGCCTGACGAATTTTGTCAGGATTAATTCTGGATGAGAGGACACCAAAGGACCTAATCTGTAAAATCTGATGATTAATATCGCTGACAAAATACCGCCACTGTACCTCATAAAACAGTCAGTTAAATGCAGTTCAATTCAATTCATTATGATATGTTTCCTTAACACTGAATTCTGTATTATCCTCTTAAGCCAGAATTTCTAGGTGCCTTATATAATTTCTGCATACCTTACTTGGTTTCCTATTCAGTGTTAATTACATCAGACGTCCAGTCCACTAATCTATAAATGCTAGAAAACGTGAAAAAATATAATTTCCTTCATTCTCCGCCTTGACCATTTATAATACGTGCAGTTATTTTTCTCGATAAGCTGATAAGCGGTAAAATGCTATTCTTTACTGTGAAACCATTTCATCCTATAACATAAACAATTAAGATATACAATTGAAATTTTTCGAAACCACCGATGCAGTGAAACTTTGTCAGGAGCACAGTAAGTAAGGGGAGAAAGGGTTGCAGAAGGAAGAAGAAAGATGAAGAAGAAATAAGGAAGGAAAATTATAGAAGAAACCTGTCCAAAGAGAATAGTAAGAAAGAATGATCCTGTAGATCGTGATTTTGTTTTGTGACGTAGTACACTCTTGTAGATGGGTACCCACAGTTTAGAGGAACATTGATAATCACCTACAAGACCACAAAGCGTCACAATCCAGAAGACAGCGGTCAATGTCTTTACCGCCGTGAGAATGTCTAACCAAATAAAGAACCCGTTAAATTTCTAGGCTTGAGGTTAGTGTAACAACATTAGAACGTGAAGCATAGCGTAGTTTCAAGTGCGAAGTAGATAATTACTAGGGAATTCAGAAGTCGACAGACCTAAACCACAGAACTTGGAGGCTAAACTGTTTCACTTCAGCAAGGGTACAAGCATCGTCTCTAAATGGGTTGTCTCTTAGGAAAAAAAAAATATAAATTTACTTAAGTCTGATTTCCTTTGTCTTTGCATAAGCTTAAAAATTGTACTTAATGACATTTTATAACACGCGGACAATATTTAACATAAATTTAATAGACATAACGTGTTCTAGAATCCTACTAATTGCATGGAAATGTAATTACTGTTTTGTAATTGGTAGAATAAAATTCAGAAACAGTTGAGTTTGGATGTAATGTTAATAGACATTTTCTGACTCTATTTTTCTTAATTCTTTTCGTGCTTAAAATTCATGTCAATAAATACAAAATCTGAGCTACGTTTTGCTGTAGAAATAAATGTTTTAACAGTCTCTGAATAGTGTGATGGGAAACGTCATGTTAAGTGCGTCCTCTGTCACAACGTGACTGCATGGCGTGTTCTCAGGCTCTGAAGGAAAACTGACACTTACTGAAAAGGTAGGCGCAAACAGCCAGGAAGTGACATCAACGCTGCTGGGAAGGAGGCAAAATACTAGAATTATAGGATGGGTATATTCTTAACAAGATGAGTTGCTATTAATTTTTCAAAGGGACTGTTCCCTGGAGTTAGGAGTTCGTTTTAGATAGTCTCTGATGTTAAGTTATGCATATACCTGCCCTGGACAGCAGTTTGGTGGCGAAGGCTTGAAGTCAGGAGGGTGTGTCTCCCAATCAACGCAGCTGGGGTCCAGTACGTCCAAACCGAACTCTGTTGGACACTCGATGGTCGCACACTGTACCCCACTGTCTGTGCATGCGCAGTAGGCCTCGCATCCTTCGTGAAATCCCTCACCAGGCATGTAATGGCGACCCTTGTAGTGGCAGCCCGCTACATACATAACATGATACTGTGTTATATAGCACTGTTCCCAAACAGTATTTAAATTATAAATAAGAAAATAAGTAAGTCTGTACAAAAACAACCGCACGAACACATCACAGTCATTGTTAGCAATACAATTTCTTCTCGGGTTTTCTTGTTTTAGTGTAAGACATATTGCCATTAGTTGAGGTTTTTATTGTAGAGTGCTCTGTAGACAATTGACTACCTTGAATTAAACCCCGTATTCTGTGTTTATATTCCATATTGGCGTGATTATCAGATACAGGAAAGACAGACAAACATATTCTTACGTTTACTTTTCAAATAAGTCTACCAGCGAAGAAGTCTAAGACCTTGAAAACTCTTTCGTATGTGGTTAAGTGGTGAAGGTCATATTCCTTGCTTGAGGAGAACAGACGGAAGTTGGCGGACATAAAGAATCGATCAGTGAATCAACTCGATTCAGACACACGAAAACTGACTGCAGGTTAATACATAAAAATATCAGTTTTAACACAGAATGTTCCTCTAATATGTAAAAGTTAAGCAATTCAGATAGGTCTAATTACGTAGGGACCTACTTGCTATCACGTGTTTCAAAAGGAGTGAGAAGAGAGGGGAATTTGTTTTGACCGCCTCTCATCTTAGCTGGAGTAGCCTATAGTTACCTGTGCCGGAGTGTTGGGAGTCTGTTGTGGGCATGGATACTTCAACGGCGTTGCTCACCATACTGCCTGATTTTACGCGGAAGTAGTAGGTCCGCCCAGCTTCGAGTCCCTGCACGAGAAGTCCCTGGGAGTCTTGACGTTTCCATGTCTTCTTATCCAGACTGGCCTCCACCGTAATATTCTCGTGATGGAATTGTGGCTCTCCGGCCAGACCTAGACGAACTGTGGTTGTGTTCACTATTTCCAGAGTCAGCAGCTGGAGATGGGGCGACCCGGTCATTTCTTCTGCGCCTTAAAAATAGTGGCTCAGTTAACGTAATTATATCCCACAGACATCGCGTTAGAATAAGTTCTAGGAATCATTTGTAATTCTACTTTCTTTCATTTGTTTCTATATTTCTGTAACTCTCATTATACGCGCTTTCATTATCCGCGATCATTATAGGAAGTGTCACTATCCTATCCGCAGCCAAATTTTAAAGCCAGTTACCTGCGATGAACCTTCTACAGGGTTATCAGGAAATGCGCATCTAATCAGTTTAGCATTTAAGAATTATGGTGCTAATTCAACTTCAAAATGGCTATCGTTTTAAGTTCCCCGTTATACGCGTTTTCGTTATACTTTGCAACGCGACCCCCATATAAAATGCGGTTTACCAACAGAATGTCAGTATATGATACGGAATTGTAAATTCCTACCAGTGTTACCTCTGGCTGCAGGTATGATGCTCGTAAAGCTTGGGGTTTTTCGTCTAAGTTCATCATTAAACGACTGAAAATCATAACCGTCTCACCTGCTCTGTTGACGTCATGGTCACCTTCATTGACGTCGCAGAGGACGACTGTGCAGCATGGGTCAGAGGAGTCGGGAAGCTCCACACAGCGATCTGCTGAGGACGTCCTGTTGACCGGAGGACACCTGCACAGACCATCAGCGTACAAGAACTTTTGTAACATATTGTTACTTGCAATAAATACAGTTGACTTCTGTCACTGTCATCCACAGACATGCACCTATGTCTCTTCAGAAATATGACGTCTTAACAATAGTTGGAGACATAATTTGATCTTCTTTACCTGGTCTTTAACCATTCGAACCCAGAGATCTCGGATTAGAATACCTCTAGTGTAGTCTACGTTTTATATTGTTCTGCAGAATAGTGGATTTAGAGAGACCGACACTGTAATGAAGCTGTTCTACCGAATGCCAGTGATATTAAATACGTATATACCTAAATACCTAAACAAAGTTATAATGGACTTGATAAGCACATAACAATTTTGTTGATTTTCACTCAGACAAAGCTAGAAATCAGAGTTAACTTTGTATTAAAGATACCGAACGTCTAGTGTTAGCACTCCTGCACGTATTTCTGAAGTCTCGGATTTAAATCTCGCCCCACAGGTCGGCTGTTCTGACTGTGGTTTTACTCAGCCCCCTACGCAAAGTCCGGGGGAGTACTTTAGGTTAGGTCAATTATTATAAATTCTTTATTATCTGATTATCCTGTAATTCGATGCTATATAATTTAAGCATCTTATTGTGTCGTTAAATAAACAGAAATAAAGATATTACAAGTCTGTCATAAGGCCTCTACTAAAACAGGAAAACCGCAAAAGCGAACATAAATCCATCCTTCGAGCGAAACATTATCACCTGTACTGTATGAACACAAACGAGGTTAGAACTGAGACCATGGCGCGGTGTTAGGGAAGCAGCTTGCAGCTTCATTGGATAAATAGATGGATTACCAATAGAGCAAATAAAGGAAATAGCATTAATAAACGTACGAAGTGTTTTATTTCGTGAAACGTCCATAAAGTTGGCAGAACTGAATCGAATAATACATTAATTATGTATTTAATTAATTAAATAATTATACTGACTGAACTACCCGACTCAATTTCTTTCAGGTAGGACGTTAAACAATTTGGATGATCATCGGATTGAGAGTGACAACTTTTTCCAGTAAATACATTCCTCACTCTATATAATGTAGCAAACAAAGTTACAGCGTAACATTTGGATCCAAAGATGAGAAATTAAATGCAAAATAACTAAAACCCGCATTTTTTATCCCAATATACAATAAACGTAAGAGGAAAACAATTGCATTCTTCTTTCAGTGAATCATTTATGAATAAACTGAGTTGTATTATTAATTGAAACAAGTTTAACATAATAATTAAAATTGGTGTCATATAGGTAATTAAACTGAGGTAGAAAGGCCTCAAACGTTCACACCTCGGTTTACAGAGGATCTTGCCCGCCTCGCCACAAGTGCACACCGCAGAACAGCCGTCGTTGATGGTATCTCCCCTCTGGTAAGACTGGTTCTTGAAGGTGCAACCCTCAAGTGGCTCCGTCCCTGCAATATCAAGTGACTCGTTAAGAAAAGATCATATCAGCTTTTGGTCTCTGATGATGTCAGCATACTGAGCGAAAACATAAATACCATAAATAAAAACACGGAATCTCTATTAGACGCTAGTGTCAAGGTTTGTCTAAAGTAAGGTTCATATCTCACCACCAGAATGCAGTACAGTCGTAAAATAAATCCTTCCACGTGAAATCTAAGGTTCTCATAGCGGCGTATATAAAGATGAGTGTGTTCTGAGGTGTTGCGCCGTGTTCTACATTTATGCATAGTTCTGTTTGATCCCGAGAAGTAACGTTACAGTTACCTGTGTCATGAGTGCAGACCAGTAGGGCGCAGCAAGGGTCTTCCGCAGGCTTTTTGATGCAGGCCGGGTCATTTATCAGCATCTCACTCCTGAAAAAGGGCATTGAGCACCTTGGTCTGCAGATCGTCTTGCCGTCTAGCCCACACTCACACGTCTCACTGCATCCTCGATCAAACTTCTGACCTTGTACGCAACTACTACCGTTAATCATCGTAAGATCAGAATAATTACTAGCTAATGTCGTAGAAATTGGATGGTCTGTCGAAGTTACAGGCGTTGCCGATGAATCTGAAAGAAATGGCGATGACATGGTGGTGTTTGTTTTATCACGTATTTGTGTGGATAGAATTGAAGTTTCGTCAATGTCGTCCAAGGACAAGTCCTGAAGCGAGCCCTTCTCTACCGTGACTGCGGTCTGGCTTTCGTCCGATCGGTGTTCCTGTACATCGAAATTCATTGCGCGACCATGAGCTGCTCCAGTACTGGAATTCCTTGACGTTTCTTGGTCTGTCTGTGGTCTGAGAAATGTCTGACCGCTATCGTTGGGTTCCGAGGCATTAAGTAATGGCAATCTGGAGCTTCCGGAAGAGTTGCTACTGGATAACTCTGCAGTAAGGGGATTCGACGTGTCGGAGGTCGTTAGTGCCGTTGATGTAGTTGTGTTCACAGATGATTCTGCAAAGTGGAGAAATGCAAGTCTTTACTCTTATGGCTTTATACAAGCAGACTTACCGAAAATGGCTGTCTTCTGGGTTGTTGCGCCTTGTAGAATTTTACTGACGTTTCAGAGGTAAAAAATACCTCTAAAACTTCGGTAAACTTCTACCAGACTACTCGGCGCAACAATCCAGAAGATAGCATTCTTCACATTTGCTACCTTAAGAAACCGAAATTAAGAAAGTAGGCTTTCAACCAACGGTCTGCAGACCGCTACTGGACTCTAAATTCTAGTTAGCCTCGTTTAAGTGTGTTTTATAAGACCTCTTATAATTAATGGCTTTTTCTGTCGCTTTTAACGACTTCGTAGCTCGTGTTGAACATTAGTCCAGTTACATTTTCATTGCAGTATTAAAAGTAAAGCTGTCCCACTATACGCCATATAAGCGCTTGGGGGGAGTGGAGGTATAGCTCCTACTCATTCTTGGGCTCGGCACTAGATGGGGGTAAGTGGTCAGCATCACGCCCCGACCGTGCTTTACCCCCGGTACCCATTGGATAGGAGGCTTGGTGGGCCCCAGAGCCGGTCTGGACGCAGAGGCTAGAGGAAAAATCCTCTGCCCCCGTCGTGGATAGAACCCCGGGTGCCCAGTCCGTAGGCAGTCACTATACTGACTGAGCTACGCCGGCTCCGTTGCAGTATTACTAACCTAATTAATTAGCGTTATGGTTTCAGAGCTTAAATGTTAAATACTGGGGATACTGGGAACGACCCGTTCTTCAAGTGCCTGAGCACTGCGGGTCCCAACTTTTCGTTGGCTTGATCTATAGACATTTTGGTAGGACTCCTTGGACGGGGGATCGGCCCGTCGCAAGGCCTCTACCTATACACAGGACAGCACAACACAGAAAAACATCCATGGCTTGAGTGGGATTCGAACCCACGGTCCCAGCGACCAAGCGGCACAAGGCCCACGCCTCAGACCGCGCGGCCACTGCGGACCCCATGTTAAATACTACACGAGGAAATTTCAATTATCTCCAAACTTCACAAGATACCTTCATAAAACCAGTTTTTACGTTGCTGTCCCATAAAATATACTGCGTTCCAAATAAACGTTCTCAAGGGATATCTCGACCAGAATTCAGAATGTTTGCGACGATAAACATTGTATATGAATTTGGTCGTGATGTATCTCAGGCAGTTTTAAGTCGGCTTTTCATTGCGAAGGCCCAAATTCAATTATCGGTCTAGTCTTTGAGGGTTTTGTTGTGTGCAAAGTGACAACAGGACAGATATATCTAAGAGTACGTCAACATTTCATCAATGTTCCATGCAAAACAGGAAGAAAAATCCTTTTTTGAGGAATATGATTGAAGAAATATGTTTCTGGAGACCAATGCAAGGACAAGACAGATTATTAAATTGTTTAATAGAACTAAAATGTTGTTAAGGTGTTAACTGGAGTAACTCTCGATGGAGGACAATGGCGAGTCTTATGGTGATTAAAACCGATGGAATAAGAAAAAATATGAAAGGAAGAAACGAAGAAAAGAAGAAAAGAAGAGAGGTAGACTTAAAGAGACAGAGAATTAAATAAAAAGGGAGCGAAAGAAATCAGATGGCAGAACTGACAGTTGTTCATCCCTCCAGTACGTGTGCTTATCTGGGTAACGAGTCCAAGATCTCGAGTAACACAGTGACATGTAAAAAAGTCACGCGTGTGTGACGCTTACGAGAATGCTGTGCTATATTGCTGTTACGACAGCAATTAAGTGAACAGCCTCATACCTCGGATGCCTTACACAATACGCAATTTTTATTCAGTCTTAAGACTTCATTTAAAAACACGCAGATCACGGTATTATTACTAAGAGCTGACAGAAACATTTGAAAACCTAACGGGATGTTATAAGGTTGTCTCCAATAATTACGAAGTCACATTTATAAGCAGTGTAGAACGTAGGTTGAGGATACTAGAAAATGTAAGGCGTGCTGGGAAGAATAATGAAGCCTAAGACGGGAAGTTTGAACCATGGAGAGATTACATTACAAGGAGTGACGTCATTTGCAGGTCTACTCCTCACCAAATATTATTAGGAAGAGGATTATCTGCATAAGACGGAGGCAAGTGTTAAGAATGAGGATATGAGAAGTGCATACAGAATGTGAGTCGGAAAAGATGAAGGGAGGAGACAAATAGAAAGACTCTGGAGAATAATATTAAAACGAATCTTAAAAATTATAGTGAAAAGATGTGGACTGGATTAATCTGTCTCAAAATATGGAAAAGTGATGGGCTTTTGTGAACACTTTAATGGATATTTGGTTTTAAATTCTTGTCTAGCTGAGTGACTATTACCATCTCAACAGGAAAAATTCTGCTTCATGAAGATGGGCACTAAATGCCCTTCAGGGGAGTCAGGGGAGGGTAAATTATAATTTGATTTTGTTTACTTAAAAATGGAAATCGTGTAAAAGCTGAACAGAGGAAATAATGGAACTAGAAAACAGAACTGAATATTACGGAAGCAGATATTTAGATAAAACCATTTTTATACGCTCCAAGATAAATTATAAACAATATATCCATTAGAAATTAATGTAATATAATTTAATGTTTGCGTATATTTCTATCTACACTTCTACATACTCGAAAATATAAATCATACTGAATTAAAATGGTAAAGTTTTTAAGTAATAAATTAGTTTCTTATATAATTTTTCCTCTTTATATTGGTTTATGGACGAAATGTCCAGTTTCTTCTATCTTCTGATAATATATCCATTTCAATTTCTTAATATCCCATTTATCCTATCTTGATGACTTACAGTACTTTACTAAAATATTTTGTTCTGAATAGTTCCATGGGTCTTCCTCATTCAAAATTTATTTTGAGTTTCCCTATCAGTGTGCTTATTCTATTCATTATTTTTACTTACCCATGCCATTCTAGTAATTTCTCTCCCAACTTTATTAAAAAAAAATTGCATAATTGGTGTCTTGTTAATGGGATGCAACTTAATTTAAGTAAAACGACTGTTATATCGTTCACCCGAAAGACAAACAGTATTTACTTTAATTACAAATTGTGTAACAATCTGGTGGCACGTTCTTATTGTGTTAAAGATCTCGGTGTTCTATTGGACTGTAAGCTTTATTTTCATCAGCAATTAACTACATATTTTCACATAGCTTAAAAATGCTTGGTTTGATTCTTCCTTTTCCACTGTTGATAGCCTTTTGGTTTTGTACAGTACCTTAGTCCGTTCTGAAATTGAGTATGCATCCGTTGTTTGGAACTCTATTACTAATACTGATTCCTTTAAATTGGAAAGGATTCAAAGGAAATTTGTAGCTCTATGTTACACTAGATTCTTTAATGGCGTGTGTGCCTATAATTACGATGATATACTA